ACACACACACCCACACACCAGTGCACGTTATGCCGCTTTCCTACCTACGCCGCTGTTCGGCGGAGGGCGAAGCGCGCTGTTTCGTCACCTCTGCGGGGTGCACAGCCGTTACCAGAGCCAGATCAACGACATGTCAAGGTGTGACCGTGCCGGGGTTGCCGAGGACGCGACGCCGGCACTAAACAGCCGCCGGCCATCGCACCTACAGCCCTGATGAGGCTCCGCTCGTGACCGGCACCGGAGCCCCACCTACAGCCCTCTGATGAGGCTCCGCTCGTGACCGGCAACGGAGCCCCACATCGGACCCCGTGGTCGGGCGTCCTGCTGGTCTGACAGAGCTGTGGCGAGGCCCACCAGCTCTATGCAACTGTGTCAAACTCGGACCAGTGTCGTGGAGCTGTGTCGGCTTCCCAACCTGCCTAATAAAGCTGTGCCCTGCCCCCGTCCAGTCTGACGGAGCTGTGTCAGGATCCCGTCCAGTCTGACGAAGCTGTGTCAAGTTCCCAGCCAGTCTGACGGAACCGTTACAGGTTTCCGGCCAGTCTGACGGAGCTGTGTCAGGTTCCCGGCCAGTCTGACGGAGCTGTGTCAGGTTCCCGGCCAGTCTGACGGAGCTGTGTCAGGTTCCCGGCCAGTCTGATGGAGTTGTGTCAGGTTTCCGGCCAGTCTGACGGAGCTGTGTCAGGTTTCCGGCCAGTCTGACGGAGCTGTGTCAGGCTCCCGTCCAGTCTGATGCAGCTATGTCAAGTTCCCGACCGTCTGACGGAGCTGTGTCGGGTTTCCCGACCAGTCTGACGGAGCTGTGTGTCAGGTGTTCCGGCCCGTCTGACGGAGCTGTGTCAGGTTCCCAGCCAGTCTGACGGAGCTGTGTGGGGCGCCAGCGGGCCAGCCGGGGCCGTGTCGCCCAAGCCGCGTCTCCACGCTCCACTTGCCGACCGGTCGGACGCCGCATTAGCTGCAGCGTGCTGGTCACCGTCCGACGTCCGGTCACGGCCGACCTGACGCCGCCGCCGGTCAGCGGCGCCGCCCTGCAGCCCGCGGCCGCAAGCACACCGTGACATCGGTCGCCGTCCCAGCAGCCTTCCTCGCTTCGCCTCGAGCCACCACGTGGCCGTAATTGAACCACACGCGGAGGCTGCTGACGCGGTGGTCTGCCGTGGCCGCCTGGTGCAGTTACGCCACGTTGGAATGCGGCTGGCGCGAGTGTAGCTTATATACATCAGATTCAGGGTATGCACGGGTGGTATGAGGCCTAACCTAGGCTCAGCATAACTGAAGTCCTCCGCGGATGACATCAGCCTCAAGTTCAACGTTGGTGATACTGACAGGAAATTTGGGAAGGAAACGGAATATTGGTCAGGGTAGGGAGGGAAATGGGCGAGGGGAGAAGGGCTGTACCCCACACCTTGGAGCAAGGCTGCAAGTGCGTCAGAAACCCGGCCCCTGCTGGCCGGCTCCGTGCCGTTCGAACGCTCGCTCAGCGTCGTTCGCGGCGAAAGCGTGGGCGAGCGCATGCCAGAGGTCGGGCAGCGAGCGGGAAGCCGACTGCACCTGCCCAGTAATTCGCGGCCTCCGGCAGGAAGGAAAGTCGAATGCTGTGATGCCAATGGTGCGCCGGTGACTGGTCTTCATTAAACACACCTCGTCAGCACATGAGGCCAGACAACGGGTGATCGGGGGATTAAATAATCATATTGATCAAATAGAACATTAGGCTGTAAGCGCTTTCCTCAAACGTCAAAGAAACGGCACACTCAGAAAACCGAAATGTCCGCTATAAGATATTTTAAAAAAATTGTTTCACGTCTTCTTCCAATGTAGTACCACCTGCAGCGAGTGACGCACCAAATGTGTATGCTCCGTAACACCACGCCACGAGCCACGATGCGGTGTTCGGCCTCGGTGAGAGAGGTTTCTCCGGTATCCCAGAGCGTGCGCGCGGCTGCTGGCGGGCAGGGTGCGTCAGAGGCGGCGCCTCGCCGTCCCCAGCCGGGACTTCCGGCGGCAGCTCGCCGGCGTGTTTGTTTGCTCGTATCGGCGGGCCATTTGTAGCTGTGACGGACGTGCGGCGCGGCGAGCCTCAGCCGCCAGCCAGAGCAGCCACCGGAACCGCTGCAGCCAAGCTGGTCTGGTCGCGCGGGAAGCCGCACTGCACTGTGCTGGAGCCAAGTTGACGAGTTGTCAAGAACGCAGTGAATCTTGTGTGTAAGAAAGGCTTATCCGGCAAGTGCCGAAGAGAAATTCGCTTCATTATTGAATGTCCGCGACTTGGACTTGTCACCATTACCTAGTTGCTTATTTGTAGCTGTTGTTCAACATTAACACATGCACGAATAAGCAATGGACGGAATTAGTAGCCCTTTGTTTGCGTGCAGCTGTTCCGTTGTTTGTCAACCGGACTGGTGATCTTCAAATCGCTGTCCGCAAACACAACGGCATCGCTGTCCAGGACGTTCGGAGCACGGATAGCGCGCCACAGACCAGCAAACCAGTCCTCTGTCATCGCCGGCGAGACTGAGCACCTCCCTCCGCCATGGACCGTGCACACGTGAACATAGCGCCAAGATGACGCCGCCACACATCACGCGTGCGTCAAGATGTCGCGGCCACGCATCACGCGTGCGTCAAGATATCGCGGCCACGCATCACGCGTGCGTCAAGATGTCGCGGCCACGCATCACGCGTGCGTCAAGATGTCGCGGCCACACATCACGCGTGCGTCAAGATGTCGCGGCCACGCATCACGCGTGCGTCAAGATGTCGCGGCCACACATCACGCGTGCGTCAAGATGTCGCGGCCACGCATCACGCGTGCTCAAGATGTCGCGGCCACACATCACGCGTGCGTCAGATGTCGCGGCCACGCATCACGCGTGCGTCAAGATGTCGCGGCCACACATCACGCGTGCGTCAAGATGTCGCGGCCACACATCACGCGTGCGTCAAGATGACGCCGCCACACATCACGCGTGCGTCAAGATGTCGCGGCCACGCATCACGCGTGCGTCAAGATGACGCCGCCACACATCACGCGTGCGTCAAGATGTCGCGGCCACGCATCACGCGTGCGTCAAGATGACGCCGCACACATCACGCGTGCGTCAAGATGTCGCGGCCACGCATCACGCGTGCGTCAAGATGTCGCGGCCACACATCACGCGTACGAGCACACATCACGTTGCGACAAGACAACGTTGCCACACATCACGTATACGTTAAGATGGCGCCGCCACACATCACGTGTGCGTCAAGGTGACGCCGCGACATTCCGCCACACTCACGCGAGCGAAGCACCGAGATGACGCCGCCGCTGCCCGCTCTGGGCGGCCGCCTGGCTGTACAGCAGGGATCTCGGCAAGGCCGGGGAGAGCAGTCCGTCCTACATGAGCCCGGGAGTCAGCGGGAACAGAAAACATCCGGCCGTGCGGAGAGACGGATCAGATGACGCCAATGGCGCCCCGACCAGCTGCTCCGTTTCCGTCGACGTGTTTTTCTCTCCAATAGAAGGCATGCGCCAGAATCTGGAAGACCGTTACGCCGCTCTGTGAATGGACCATTCAGCTGTCGGGGCTGTCCTTGGGGCGTGCTGCGCTGTTTTTGGTGTGTCGACGTTTATTGGGCTGTAATTTCAATGGCAGCATTGATCTTTTCGTGTTCTGGTGCGTCATGCTCGGTGAGCACATTGCTCCCCAAGACGATGAAATGCGAGATGGAATTTAATTCTCGGTGCTTGGATTTGCTGCATTCTTTCGAAGGCTTCTGAACTGTACAGTCTTCAAGTTGTGCTTTGGACTTTCCGAAGTCTGTGAACTGTGACGTAGACTGCTGTACTGTGCTCAGGTATCACGTTATTGATCGACGAATTCAGTTACGCTTGTATTCGCAGGCTACTGCTGACCGTTCCGTACCAAAGACCACCTCGCTACATTTGTGAATATGAAGGAGACCTCAGAAGAAGACAACGTATCGTCGCGTAGTCTCAAACCATTGCCACGTGGCCAGTTTTCCGCCCGGAAGAATGCCTGTCTATGGAACCCGATCAAAGTCGATGACGTTCATTTCTGGTAGGGATTACGCATTCCAGGAAAACGCCTCTCAATAAGCGCTCGCAGTGCGCGTCCGCCCCGCGGCGCCTCGTCCGGGGTCTGTTTTCCTACGCGTCGAGCCCGTCGTCGGCTGTCGGCGCCGACGATCGTCGGCTGTCGGCGCCGATCGTCGGCTGTCGCGACGATCGCCAGCTGTCGGCGCCGGCAATCCGCGGCGTCCCCGCGACGCGGCCAAGAACAATGGCGGCGGCGGCAAAACAAACAGGCCATTCCGTGTGTTTGTGAAGCGGTTTGCTGTCACTCTCGACAGGGGCTCAGACTGGCCGGAGCTGAGAGAAGATAATACCGGTAGCGACGCTCGCGTCGGTGGAGAAACAAACGTCACAATGGTTGCAGGCATCAAGGAAGGCAGAATCTGTGACGGCGAGCGGTGCCGCTGCAGCGCTTTGTTCTGTTCTCTCTGCTGTATGTCGGTATGCGGTAGCCGTTTACAGGCATCGGGTCAAACCATTTTACACTTGTTTAGACAATTATATTCCATGACTGATATAATGAAGACAAGAATATGCTCAAGTGACTAGATAAATGCGAGACTAAAATATGGTAGATGCCGCCGATAGTGGCTTCATTGTCACACTGTTCATCTCATGACTGATAACAAATTAACACTGGGATATCGTCCTTCAATACATCAAACAGAAACACTGGCCATTTTCCACGGAACGAGCAACGCCAGTGCAACACAAACAGAAAACAGCAATTCTCGCGCTCGCATGCCGCCACCGCGCTCTACGCAGCGTCCTGGCACAGGGACACAAGGAGTCAACGGCGGCAGTCCTGCCCGCGACTCCAGGAACAGAGCGCCTCGTCTGGAGTCGCCGGAGGATGCCGCTGGCGGCGATGGCGGCGCTGGAACCCCGCCGGCTGCTCGGCCGTTCTGCAGGCAGAGCGGCCGGACCGCGCGAGGTTCTGAGCAGGGGTGCGACCACCGGCGCCGATCTGGAACAGCGGCCGGCACCCGGCGGTGACTGGCGGTCCGCGGCACGTGACGTCACACTCCCGCGCCGCGCCGTGACAAACCGACTCGCCTGAGGACCGATTCTCATCAGTTATGTGTCAGCCATGACCGGCACGCTTCTCAGCCACTGGATGACTCAGAGGCGTCGATGACGCGCGGATAGCGGGTGCTGCGTTCGCCCACCTTTGGTACAGTTGGAGGGTCGGCAGCTGCGACGCCTCAAATGTAGAGGAAGCTGTCGTGGTCCTTGGCGAGAGCCAGTGAGAGTGAGGGCGCGCGCAGGCTCCTGGAGCGGCGCTCCTCGCCGGCCTCGGTCTCCCGCCCGACCCGGCTCAGTTCGCGGCTCCTGCTCCAGTGCAGGAACTGTAGCAGACAGGGGCGGACCGCGGTGAGAGAGGGTCGGGTCACCACCCGCCACCCGCCACCCGCCACACGAGACACAACGGTGCAGAGAGGCCCGGACCATGACGGCGGCCTGTCGCTGGGACGGTGGTCTGGCGACAGCTCTAGCGGTTGTAACAACAGCTTGGTCCGTCTCAGCCGCTCCGGCTCCAGCTTACTGACAGCCCGGGACGAATGGTGGGCGCCAAGACCGGCTCCCGTCCACAACAAGCTGTGCCCACTCCGCACAACTCTGCAGCGGCCACCCAGGGTGTGATGACGTCGCAGGCGGCATCTCCGGTCGGATGGTAACGCCCACTCCGGTGTCCCCTGAGTTACGATCTCATCGAACGGCTGCGCAGCAAGCACACCCCCGGAAAACTGAAGTACAAACAAGACCACTTCTCATTTGCTGATTTAATAAACGCTACCCACAAGGTCAGCCGAAGGTCACTTACCGATCGCCTGAGGGGGAAGTCCCGTCCGATGCGCGGGTGCCCGGCGGCCGCTTCCTCAGCACGAAGCTGTAGTCGCTGCTGGAGGCCCACTCTTGCTGTATGAGCAGCGGACGGTCGTCCGGATGCAGCTTGCGCTCGAAGCTGATGCTGATTGAGCGACATATCTGCACGGAGCAAGAATATGAACCGGACGCACTGTCTAATGTCATCAATAGTCGCAATTACTGAGGCTGAGTTGCGATCGATACGAAAGCTTCTCGCACAAAACGACCGCAGCCAATGTTCTCCAAGAACTATGAGGTTTTTGTTAAAGAAACATGTGAACAAGGTACAGTTACCATGTGAACAAGGTACGGTTACCATGTGAACAAGGTACGGTTACCACCAAGACGGTGATGATTTTTTGTTTCTGTACCTCGTAAATGCTGAACAGGTTGACGCTCTCCGTGGAGTTGTAGCAGTTCAGCAGCAGCTGGATCATTTGATCCACTGTTGTTCTCTCCGAAACCAGCAGGCTCTTGTACTTGGACTGTAAAAATAAATGGTTGAGTTCATATGACGCCAGCGGGAAGGCTAAAGGAGTTGAGAGGGTAGTGAGCCGGGCGACATCACAATTAAGTGTTCGAATTCGAAACTCTTAACTTTGTCATGCAAACCATAAAAGCTGACGAGGCAAGGCTCCGAAGTATTGTACGACCAGACAACGAACTTTTTATCACCTATTCCTCATGTAACACTTGTTCCTATCACATATTAATCCTATCTAATATTAATCCTCACAGAATAAGTGATACCGAACACAAGCCGAACAACTGACAGCATCCGCAGAGGTGCACTCACAGACAGCACCAGACCGCTCAGACCACACGCCACGCGGCCACCAGACCCACCTCGGCCATGAGCACGCTGTCGAACACCTTGACCAGGCCTCCGTGCCGCATACGGACGGTAAACCTGCGGCAAGGGAGCCGACGGTCATGACTCGGCTGCGCCCCAGTTCCCACAGGCGTGCTCGCCCACGCTGTCGCACGCGAGGCACGCCCACGGCCAGCCGGACCGCGCTAGTACCTGGTCTGCGTACGGTCGCGGCGGGCGTTTTCACACGCGAGGTCAGTTCGATCTGCGCCGGGCAGAACGACGGTTTCCGGGGACATTTCACACCAGACGTGGGTGGCCGGACGTTGTGGCCGTCGCGTCGCCGGCGTGTTGACCCCGTCGTTAGCGGGATTTAGGGCCCCAATGTGTGAGGAAAGGGAAGTGAGGTTCACGAGGGTGCGCTGAGAGCCGTCCGCAACTTCAACAGCGCAGGCTGCGACGTCACGGGACCCGGGAACGTGGAGCTGAACATTGGATGACCGGCAGAGGACGGCGCAATGAGACCTCTGGCAAAGATCACCCATCCGTACTCACTTGGAGTCGGCGCGGGTAGCAGGCCTGCAGCTGGGCTGGACACGAGTCGTCGTCCAGCACCAGGATCGTCCGCACAGAAGCACCTGTCAATAACGCAGCCGCTCAGTCCCCGCTGTCGTGATTGGGGCATGCTCCATTTCCCGGTGTCGGTGGTAGTCGGCGGTATGAACTGTATGGAGCACTATAATCATTTTACCGGGGAGCAGGCAGGTCACACCCCTGGTCACGTGATTACGGCCGAAGTAGTCCAGCACCGCACAGCCCAGCACTGACAAACTGTCCGCCATTCTTTAGTGGTGCGACCTTAATTGACCTCGGCCGACCCCATCCTGCCCACCCAGTGCACACAATGCCGCTGTCCCAGTTTCTACGGCCGGGCCAGACGAGCGGACGGCACGCGACCACCTTGTGGCACTGGTCGGCCACCGCGACCGGCGCTGTCACGCATGTGGCGCGACCGCGACGGCCGCGCGCGGCCCCGTCCGCGGCGCGCTCTGGCAGGGCGCCGCACTCGCCGCAGCGTCCCAATCTCGACGGCAATCCCCCTGACGCGACCTGCTGCTCAGCCGGGCGCCACACCTGGCTGAGCAGCAGGGAGCCTGAGCCACCCGGCCTACCCCCGCTGTCTGCTGGTGACCGAACCCCTTACCCGGCCCGCTGGGCGGGCGACCTCGACATCCAGCGGGCTCAGGCGGCGGAGCCGGCCCCACCCACCGGCCGGCCAGTCCACGCTCCTCTCTACGGCAAGACCAGCGCTGGCGAAGAGCTGTCACTTGGACTGACCTGTGCTTCTGGTGGCCACCTCCATGGTGAGGAAGAACAAATTGGGGTCGCGGTGCTTCATGCGGTACTTGTTGAGCAGCTGGTCCACCACGTCCCGGCACGTGGTCGTGTACTTGACGCACATGGTCTTGTACTCGAGGTCGGGTCGCAGGCAGCGCGTGTACACCTTCACGGTTGTCTGAAACGTGGAAATTGCACAGCAATTATTTTTTGCCAGCATTCTCCATACCCCATAGCTATTACAATGCCCTCATCTAACGTGAAGCAACGTCTCAAAAACTGGCGAGGAGAGGGGACACAAGGTCAACTTTGAAGTGGATTTTTTCATGCGTCGCCACAGAAATAATGTTCAGCATTCTCGAAAATTAGGGGTGCCATGGCCACACGGATTCCCCATTTCTGTACCTATAACGCGCCCATTCCTGTGCCTATAACGCGCATGTTAAAGGGTACCGGTGATCTATCCACCAGCCGACTGTTCTTCACGCGCTTATGTATGGACGCATGACGATAAGCGAGGTACGCATGTTCGCATTCACTTACCGGGGTGAGGATATGAGAATCTTACCGACTGAATAAATGATAACGTCTTCGTGTCCGAAAACTTTCAAAACATCTACCAATGGCAGGTTGACACG